GTGTTGGCCCTGAAAAGCCCCTATGGGGAGTGGCCAATTAACCTATGTATGTATGCATGTATGCATGCATGTATGTATGTATGTATGTATGTATGTATGTATGTATGTATGTATGTATGTATGCATGAAAACCTGTCAATTTCTTGCATTGCAAATAAACATTGAGATCATGCATACAAGCCAATTCCTCAATTCCGCTAAACAAATCTTGGTTCCAGTAGTTCAGAAGCTTGACAACTTGTGTACTAGACTATTAATAATAAAAAAGGATCATATTTTCAGTCCATGTTTAAGTGTTTGATTTGATTTTACTCTGACTTATTTTGTATTTTTACACATTTTTGCATCTTTTGGAAGTTATTCAATGCACCTTGAGAACTGTTTTGAAGTTCCTAGAAAAAGTCGTCAAACTTTCAGAAGTTGCTGAAATATTTTTGCCTTTAATATGGGTTAAATGCTATTGGATTGTGTATTTGAAGTAACATGCATTAGATTTAAAAATGCAATTAGTCTTGAAACAGATTAGGCATGAGGAAAGTGAGAGTTCATGAATAATATTTACCTAAAATAATCCTCTGGATATTTCAAGGGTCTCTTTGCTCCTGGAGTATTGGAAAATCCAGTACTTCTTAGAAGTTTACACACATCATCAAGATTTGAGTCTACATCTGCTCTAGCAGCACTGAAATGATGAAAATCAGTACAAAAGACACAATTATTTCACATCATGCTGCTAATCTCTCATGGAGCTATTATAATAATTATACATTCGTCAGGTGCATGTATACTAAGTTAAACTTTATTAACTGCAGAAAGTAAAGCCTGAAAAAATGAATTTTCTTGAGCCTGTATACCAGTTTAGCACTACAATAAAATGAGCCTCAAAACAATATCTTAGGAAAGAGGCAAGTTTTAGTGAGTTGCATTAAATTTTACCTCCCTCCCAAAAATTAATGTGGCTTTGTAAATTAAGCAGTTTAGTCTGCAGCAGTACCCAACCAGTTTATGGAAAGTGCACAGTTGAGGATGGTAATGCTGAACACCAGTAAGGTTTTCTTACCAGTATCTGTGATAAGACACCAACATTCTCTCTCTAATGTCTCCCTCGAACTTCATGTCAATTACTAACAGCATAATACCGTAAAGGTATAGACTTTCACACTTTGAAACAAAAAGGAAGAATGTTAGTATGTTTTAATCATTGTGAAAATACTGTTAGTAACAATAATGCTAAAGCTGGGATACCTGCTGAAAAATCAACAGTGAAGGAGAAATGCAAAACTGGACCAAAGGCTTTATGGGTATGTACGAGATTGGCCCACGTAAAAAAGTGGGCGTTGCAGTGCATCAGTGATCACAGACAAACCAACACAACTTCAGCTGGAAACCAAGCCTATCAGTAGGACACTGCAATGCTTCTATTATTCTTTTCCCATTACCGTACTTTTCACTTTAAATTTCTCAGTGGCTTACTCATAAAAATAAGTATGAAAACAGAGGTAAAATTATTACTAATGGAGGTCCAGTTGACAACCTAGATTATTTTGGTTAAATCAATACACTCCAAGAGAGAATTACAAGGTATTTAGATTCTCACCATGAGTTGTTTACCATCTTCATTAATTAGTACACTCTCTAGTGTTTGTTGTATAAAAACTCCTTCTTCAAGATCTTCAAGATATCTAGAGATTAAAATAATCACATTTTTCATAAAATTATTAAAATAATCACATTTTTCATAAATTTATTAAAATAATCACATTTTTCATAAAATTATACCATTGTGGGTAATCCTCCAAAATGCACGATTACAGAAAAATTATAGCTATAGGCCTACCATGGAGAGATTTGGAATCATGTCACATTAATTTTATCATCATTTTTGATTCCCTAATTCTATAAAATTAGTTTAATTAGAGCATGATTCTGTTTTAAAGTGAATTTCAACAAAAATAGTTTGACTTGTGCTCCTCTCTATTCTGAATGATTTATTACAGTAACATTCTACGTAAAATAAATGGTAACATACCATGTTATGCTCTTTTTATTTTTTTATTTAAGGAATGGAACAAGATTCCATTAGAAGGAATGAATGAATTCCTTATTAATATTGCGCCTTTTCTATACAATATTCAAAGGTGCAATACCCCCCATCAATTTGATAGACACTACACAAAGATAGACCACAACATCGGCACTACGTGCCCTACTCTTTTCGAACAGTGTGTGGGTTCTTTAACGTTCCACAAATTTAGTTTATCACATACAAGGGCTTGTGAGACGGGACTTCCATTAATCGTCCCTATCCGAGAAGACTAGAAAGTCTAACCATTTGCAGATATTATTACAAAGGCAGCACTTTCTTCTCAGCTATTTAAAGACCCTGAGTGTCGGTCCGGCAAGATTTTAACTCACAACCTCCTGCACAACAGTCCGGCGCTCTACCAATTGAGCTAACCAGGAGGCGGTTAGAAGTCATGAACTGTGAAACTGTTTGTGGTTCTAAAAATGCTATCTTACACTTTTTAGTCAGAAAACTGAGACTTGGCAAAATTTAATTACTAACTTGAGACTTGGTAAAATTTAATTACTAACTTTAATGTAATCATTCTTATTACTTTTTATTTATTCTTTTTAAGTTCTATTATTGAGACAGGAATTGCCTGAAACTCCCACATGGATGAGGTGACCTTCTGTATAAGGACCATTATTATTACCATTATCATTATTATTAATGTAATAATTAATGATATGTTCTGAAAATTAATTGTATAAAGATAACTGCCTTCAGATATTACTTTAATAGGTACAGTTTATAAAAATGTAAGCTGTTACAACACCTGAAAGTGGAATTCTTATGATGAGTTTACTGCTAATTAACCTGTATTAATCAATTGGTTCATGCAGTCCTTATGAATAATTATTGTAAGATAATTCTGCATGCAGTACAAGATTTACACAGAGATAGTTAAGTGTATCACTGAGTAAGTTTGGTTTTCATTTAGTTAAGTTTGGTCCTTTAAAAAATTGTATGGTAAAGTAGCACGAGGAAACATATAAGCTATCTCTTAACTCATTGTTTTATGAAAATTTCAGTCCTTTAATATACAATCATGTTCAAAGCAAAAATAGACATATCTTGCTATCTTAGATTGGTTTTTATTTGTGTGATTTACAAGCAGCCTGACCTGTTTAGATCGGTGATGTACTTGTGGACACTTTCAAAGGCTTTGTAGAACCTAGTCAGGATTTCTATGTGATTTTCTCTGAATTCTTCATCTAGATCTTGAAGTTCCTTAATATACAAGAGACATATAAGACCTTCCATCTAGAAATCTATAATCTACAAATCTACAAACACATTTTGGTGTGTAAACAGTTCCATATGTTGACATGAGCACAACATAAACACACCACTGCTAATTTATGGTTATCAGTTAAAAAAAAGAGTCAATATTGCCAATCCTGCAACTACCAAATCTTGATTTTACAATTAACCTCAAAAATACCCTCAAAAACTAAATTCTGCAACACTTGGATCAACATATTTGCGTGCAAAAAAAAAATTTAACCCTGAAAAATCCAGCAGACACTCTTAAAGCTACAATATCCCTCACACAAAATCGCTTGATGGAATTTCAAAACCAAACAAGACATCAAACATACTCATGACTGACAGACCTCAGCCCCATTCCAAATGGTCCTTTTCTTTCAATTCAGGTCCTTATGCTTTAAGTATTTCCATCTGACTTGAAACTTTGTTTGCACGCGTACGGAATGGTGCTGTGGGGAGGAGGGGGAGGGGGAGGGGGGACAAGTGTTTGTATACTTACAAATGGAATTACAATTCTTGTCGATTTTTCACTACAATTTTCTAAATGAAGATAACCTATAAATTAAAAAGCTACGCGCTCATTGATCCTTGCTTTCTTTTCCTACATATATATTTTTTTCTTTCGTCTCCATATATTTCCGGTTTCGAAGCAATAAATTATTAAATTATCTGTAGAGGGGGTTGGCACGTAATATATACACAGAACGCTCTCTTTCAGAGAAAATAACGCAGAAATGATAACAGGACGATAAGGACACACAAAAACGATCCCTGCCAACAACCACAAAAGCGAAAGTCAGCTGTTTTCTCGGCTTACCGCCTTCGAGTCAATTCTATTCTCGTAGTAATCAGGTCCTTTGAAATAGGAGAAGTCTGCTAAGATCTCGCCATACTTGTCACGATCCTCTTTGGTTTCTTGCTTAAATACTGGAGGTATGAAGTCAGAAAGGCGCAAAAGCTCGGCAACAATGGCATTTCCACGGCTAACGAGCTTTAAAACAGTTTGCCCACAAGCGTTGTTTTCTGCGAGGAAATCCACCATCTTGAATTGCTGTCATCATGTGACCGAGGCCTAAACATTTTTCCCATAATACGTTAGGAAGAGCTAATTTGAAAAATGGCGGCCGCGGTAAAAGACCGACTTTCCCACTTCAGATCGAAATTGGAGGTACGCAGTCCTAAATAAAGTTTCTTGGCTCGAAAACTAATATTTTTATGAAGAAATATTTGATTCGCAGCTTTTTTTTACCGAAAGAAAGTTTTATTTCATTTGTTTAAGTGGAACTTTCATCTTTCGGAAAATTAATGTGATCTTTGCTGTTTTGGTCTCGTTTTTCAGGAGCTTGACTGCCCATATCTAGGTGGTGTTGAGGAGTCGTGGATAGAGGAACTGTTGTTTAAACCTGGGGAACCAAGGTTGAGACTTTTACAGTGGGCTGTTGGAAAGTATGGCTGCAATTCGTTTTATTATTTTGACCTGACACACAGTGTGCATTTACCGTTTGAACTGTTCGTACGTTCGACAAATTGGGCCATTCCATTTAATATCTGCACCCCCCACCCCCATTGAAGGCCTGCGATTTCTTTGGGGAAGGGGGGTCAATGCTATATTTTTTCTTAGGGGGGTCGAACCATATTTCTGAGAGCGGTCGCCATAAAGTACCCTTGACAGAAATTCTCACGAGTAATTTCTGAAGGGGGTTCAATTGGTTTGCTTGATAGCTACATAAAATTCTGAAGGGGTTAATTTCAGGCAATTCTGAAGGGGGTTAAAAAATTTATTTTCTGGAGGGGTGTTACAGGAAAGCCTTCAATAGGGGGGTGCAGATTTTAAATGGAATGGCCCATTATTGCAACCACGGTGAAATTTCAGCACAGCCCCATATGTTCTTCATTATGCAGACTGTTTGTGGATTAAAAAATAATAACAATAATAAAAATGAAGAACACAATAGAATGCATATGGGCTTTTTTTTTTAATCGTATGAGGCTGTGTGGAAATCTTACCATGACCACTAATATGGAGATTATAATTATTGTAGTAGTGTTCACACAGTACAAGCTTACTGATGTAAGTCTGCGTCATTGGGTATGCTCCAGTCATTTATCAGGGAAGAAGATCAAAGCCTGAATCTTTCTTCATCATGTACATACCATGATGTAGAACATTCCATGATGTAGAACATTCCATGCCTTTATGCCACAAAATATTGAAACTCAAGCCTACTGTTAGGCCTTTGTTGAATGTGCACTGAAGGCACCCTAAATTTAAGAAAGGTTTACTGGATGAAGGAAGAGTAGTTGCAATTGAGAAAGGTATTCTTATTTTTTTTTAGGAAGAGAATTACATGTACATGTAATCTATTTATCCCTTTTCTCCCTTATTATAATTATCTTGTGAAATATGTGCATAAAAAGTGGTTATTAGCTATGCTAATTTGCATCCTGATAAATATCCACCTTTATTTACTCCCACTTTGGCTACTAATTGTCAATCTTTTTATTGTATGATTACATATTTACAGCTGTTCATTTGTGTGCACGTTGTGGTATTAAATGATTTTTTGTTGGAATGATTTCAAATAAGTTGGATGTAATTCATGATTTTTTAAATTCCCTTTGGACTCATAAGTCAGAGTGACCAGCATCTAATTTCTCCCTACAAAATCACCCCTGAATCAAATGTTAAGTTCACAAGAACAACTGAAATGATCACCAACTAACAAAGGTCTTGATTGTGAAACAAATTCTCCTTGTCAGCACCTTAGGAAATGTGTAGAGAACAGTATGGAGAATATGCTTCCTGATGTTAGGGTGTAAAGGGTGAAAGGACTTTGATAGTGTACGTGGTAGAAAGAGGAAAAAAATTAAAACCAGCTTGAAATCTTTTTTACTAAAAATTTCTTTTAACCAAATGCACATTTAGAGTGTTCATGAGACTCTGTATGTTAATTTTGTGATGTCACTTTGCATTTGTAGATTTGATCCAGTCATATACAATATGTTGGAGAACCAGCAAAGCAAGGCTTTGGGCAGAAATGACTCCAGAATTCAAAGTAAAGCTCTACGTATAACTTAATGGTTCTCTTATCCACATAATGTACTAATAACTGAAGTATCTTTTTTCAACACGAATGTAGTTGTTGTTTTTTTTTCAGATAACAAAAGCAAAAAATCAAAAACAAAAAATCAAAGACAAAAACTGGTACAAATGAGATAGAAATCTACCATTGCTACTGAAGCTATTTACTAGTGTCAGATAAGCCTATAATACAGGTGTCTTATTAGGGCAAGTTTGAGTTACAAGTTTGCAATCATTTATACAGCTGGTCATGTTTGATTTAGAGTTCGTGTGCATAATGGGGAAGGGGGTAGCAAAAGACACAAACAGAGTTTCCCAAAAGAACTACGATCTAGGGCAGGTATCCCCACCCCTCCCCTTTCCTTCCTTTTGACCATCACTCACCCTGTTGGTACCAATTTTTTCTTCCCAGCCTTCTGCTGCTGGGAAAATCAAAGATCGTAGCTGTAATTTTCACCAAGAAAATACTGAGCATTTACTTGCTAAAATTGCACCTGCTCTATAGGCAAGAGTTAGATCTTTTGCATTTACAGGTGGTGATAGAGAAGACTGATTGGCAAGACTTTCATTAATGATCCAATTAAATTGATTAACTTGAAAAAGCATACAAAGATATGTACTTTGTTTTTCCTTTGTAGAGCTGCTGTTTGCATGTCACCTTTTAGGACTCTGTAAAAGTGATGATATTGACCTTGTACAGGTAATTAAAAAAAGTTCCTCATTTATTTTCACATAGCAATGGTGCAAGTAACCAGTCAGTAATGAAAGGTTGGTACTGTGTGAGAAGAGGTGGGGGCCTCAGTTTTCTCAATTTTTTCCCACTGACATAGGGGTAATCAAAAGCATGAGAAAATATTTGACAAGAACTACATGTATTTCAAAGTGTGGTGTGTGTTTTTTTTATCTGTTGGCAAAAACAAAAGAGAAAATGTGTTCAAGAATATTACTTGCTGATGGAAAAAGTGGGAAAGGTCACAGTTGTTATGAGATTAGATGTACATGTTGTCTATTAGACCTCTTGGTAGATGCTACAATTTTGATCTTCTGTTATTTGCTGTTCAATACAGGGTAACAAATCTAGAAACAAACAAGCAGTGTTCTGGGAAAATCTGTTAGATCTCATTGGTACAATTGAGTCATCAGGGCAGATAAGTCATTTTACCACCCCAGTGAGAACAGCCAGGTAGGTGTTTTCTTAACAGAATCTTGCATGCTAATTCGCCCTTAGACTTCCATGAGTAACCAAGACAGAATTTTGCCTTATATATCAATGCTATATCTATCAGAAAAGTGATGAGAATAAAGAAAACATGAATAAGGGAATCATTGGTTGATCCAGTACCATTTTATCCAAACTGAGATCAGAAGAATTGAATGGCAGACTGTAAGGAGATCGAATTTTACTAGACAGTGAGATTGTGGGAGTGAAAATAGAACCCAACCAAGCCCACATATATCATGATTGTAACATCTTTAAGCAAAGATGTGCTCTTAGCAGCTTTTTTTTGCGTTAAAAAAATTATCACTATTTCTTTTCTTAGTTTGCAGTCTGGAACTCCCTTTTCTTTAGAAGAGCAATTTAGAAGTGACTGCTACTTTTTTGATGGTTTATGTCGCCAAGAAGACCTTCAGAATGTCTTTAGGTCAAAAGTTCAGCTTTATCCTCCTGATTTAATGAAAACAACATCTGGACTTGAAAACAAAAAGTAGGTAGCATAAACATAGTGTATGTTAAAATATTGGGTTTGTAATTGCTGCTCAACTGTACATGTAGAATTTTGTGTCTCTGATGTAGCATTCTTCTGACCTCTTTGAAGCTCTGACAAAGGGTTAATGCTTGAAACATCAGTTTTAGCAACTCTTAATGGTGGCCATTTGATTTAGAACCAGTTTATCTTTTTATCCCCCCACCTATGCAGCATCACAGTTTCTTTGGAAATGCACCTCTTTGTTCATGTTGAAGGCCATTTGGATTCTCCCTTGAAAGTAAGCAAACCAAGGGCCTGTTTACATGGAGGTGGGGGACCCTAGGTAGGTGGGGGTAACCCACCTCTCCATATAATCTCTCATTTTTATTTGATCATGTTTACATGATAGGTGGGGTAACCTGCCTAGGCGAGTTGCCCGGTCTGCCAGGTAGGGTAACCCCCCCCCGGGGTTGCATTTTTGCCATGTAAAGGACTCAAGGTGGGGTAACCTGCCTAGCCGGGGTTGAGTTCGTGTTACATTTGCAAGCACGCAAAAGTGAGCCCCGGGACGCCACGGTTGTAAGTTTGCATGTAAACGCGGGCCATTTTTCGACCACGGCTAGACGGGTTACCTCACCTACCTGGGGTCCCCCACCTCCATATAAACAGGCTCTAACTGTTCCTTCACATGAAAATGAGACTTCATTTCAGATGGAAACATGAGGCACATTTCTTATTAATGGCATAGCACACCTTACCTCTCTCTGATAACAAGGCTTAGTGCCCTAAGAGTAACTTGGAAATTGTGTACTGTTTGTCTTTGTTGCTCATCAAGGTGGTCTGTTAGAGTAGTGATCATAGCTGAGCTTTCTGTCCAGGCAGTAAAAGGATGATGATATTGAGGTGGTGTGAGGTATACACTTGTAGTCAACATTCAGATAACAAGCTCAAGATTTCCAGGGTGTGTTTGGTTGAGATGACAAGCCCTCATGAACCATCATGAATATAAATTTTTGTTCAAGACCTTTATAAGCAACCATTCAAAAAGGTTATTTGGTCTTTCCTAATGCATAATTCACATAGTGTATAATTAAAACTATTTTCATTCTTTTTTTTTTTAATAAATAATAGAATACCTGATGAAAAGCAGTTGATGTCAGTGACTGAAAAATTGCTGAGTGAACTGGAAGAACAGAGCAAACAGCTGGATGAGTTGAGAGAGAGTGTACGTCAAATTTCATGTACTGTTTTATCACCGGTAGTGTTTTCTTAGCACTGGCAATGTACTGTACTTGTATTTTTCTCTAACTTAGGAAAAATTAATCTATAGTTCTTGCATAATGATCAAACTGCTGCAAATTTAAATTGATTCAGGGGAAATGCCAAATACTAAATTCTTAGAGGTTAGTAAGTTTTACAGTTTGCTAAAAATTGATGAGTCGTTCTGAGAGAATTTGCATTTTTACCCTTAGGCTTCAAATACTAAATTCGTAGAAGTTAGTAAGTTTTACAGTTTGCTAAAAATTGATGAGTCGTTTTGAGAGAATTTGCATTTTTACCCTTTAGGCTTCTAATACTAAATTCTTAGAAGTTAGTAAGTTTTACAGTTTGCTAAAAATTGATAAGTCATTTTGAGAGAATTTGCCATTTTTGACCATTAGGCTCCATTGTGTGATGCAGATGCTATAACAGTTGAGAAAGTGAGTAAGACACTCTCTCTCTCACTCACAACTATGGCTCAAGTTGTGTCTGGATTTCTTCACTGCTTTGAGACTGAGATGAAGCCATGGAGTAAACGACCGGCACCTGTCTTGTCAGGTAAACTGTACAATTTCTGCTCGGCAAGTCTTGTGATTATAATTCACAAGTGTTTGTTGAGGGTAGGGATACGAGCACTTATTAAATCGCTCGCAGCGCCCGTGGGCTAACGTGGGCTACCCGAGCGGGAAAGATGGGCCCATCTTGCCCGTTCGGGATTGCCCGTGTTGATCCTGTTTGGATCAAATTCTCTGCTTGAATTTCTGCAGGTCAAAAACGTTTTAAAAAATTGTGATTAGATTCCTTTGAGGTAAAGAAGAACCCTCTAAAATTTGCCTCGCTCTCAAAGTGTGACTTCGTAGTTTAGTTGGTAGTAGGGCCCAACTATTGTCTAGGAAACAAGGGTTCCCAGATCATAGTTACCGGTAGCAGTAGTTTATCAAACCCCTTTTCATAGCAGATTTTTAACCTAACTCTAAGCACCAGGCTTCTAATCTTTACTAAATGACTTATAATTTCCTCTTGATCACAGAAGTTGGTCCAGCATTCAGCAGAGTTCATAGACTTTTATCAAGATACACAGAGGTGAGATTAATTTAGATTAACTTTTGTTATACCTGTATGGCCCTATGGTAAAAGCTCAGAGCCAGGAACAAATTTATGATAGATCCCATCCTGCCGTGTGTCTTTTCAGTAATAGATCACAGATGATGTCAAAATGCGAAAGTGGCACACGAGGCCCAGCCGAGTGTGTCACTGATGTTCTTACCGCATTTTGAGGTCTTTTATTATCAATTACTTTACAAATCCACGGCTTCATAGGATCTACAATGTATTTGTTTTGTATGATAAAAAAGCAAAATTTTGTTAACGGGGACGTCATGTATGTGTCCGTCCAACAAGTCATAGGTAACATCCAATCAAAATGCGAGCATAGTTCTGCTTATCATGATTATTATTTCTTATTTTTTTTGTGATATTTTTAGCTGATCCAAAACTTAGGAACAATCAAGAGATCATACAGTGAAATATGCCATGACGGTAAAGATAAAATATTCACAAGACAAAAGGACGACACAGGTAAGACGCTGTTGGTAGAGGGCCCTCCTTAGATGAATTGCCAAAACGACGACGAGATGGTCAAATGCGAAACGGTAGAATGAAAACGAACGTTAACGCCTGTGGTATTCCTTCTCTTCTTCTCTTCATTCTGATTGTGTAATTTAGCCTACTTCACCTTTAAGCTGTTCAAAACCTTTGCCTTCTCGGTTAACCAGTTTGTAGTCATAATGCGGTTTTTTTGGCCGTTTCCTCGAATTGGAGACAACTTGTTCACTAGACTCCAGAGCGTGCGGTTACCGATCATAATTCAAAGCAAAAACACAGTTTGTGGCTAAGTGGTTTAAACGTATCACAGCGCCATTTCTTTCGGTGCTGATACATCACTGATGCAATGAACAGCGTAAACTCAGTACATTTCGAACGTAAGGCAGCGTCCTATGCTATTTGGTAACTTAATTACTTCGATAACCAATCAAAGATTGAATCCGGGCTTTTGTCCTCTTGGAATTTTTCCATCAGCTCTTGTTCCCTGCATGTAAATATCAGTGATTTCAACCATCACAAGGAATTAAGTGAAACGGAACATAGGCGCGAACAACAGGTCAGTATAATGATTTTTCTTTTTTGCGGCTTTAGGGTTAAACCCGGCAGAACTGAAAACTCTTCAGGGGTGTTTGGGTGTTCTGGAGGAATCATTACAGCGACTTAGAGAGGAAGGGAGGTGACTCGTGATGACGGAGTTTTTAAGGAAGCAAAAAGAAGAAAAGAAGATTACTCAAAGTCGGATGGTATATCGAACAGTTGTCAGATTCTTATGATCCAAAGAGAAACAAACTTTTCCCTTCCCCTCGGTAATCGCTGGTGAAAACTGATGGGAATCGTTTGAAAAAAATGCTCGAGGGAATTCTTGTTTGCCACGAAGAATGCCCTTCGTCATATTTTTTTGTATGTTGAGATTTGGAGCGGATATTGTATTTGGTATACGTAAAGGATATCAAGTGCATGAACACAGAATGCGGTTATTCCCTTCTCAATCGGCCTGTTTACTACTGAGCCTCTAAAACAGTTTTCAGGTTATTTTGATAGCCTTGAAATTCCTTTTAGATTCTTGTCTTCAAATTCCCTCTTATATGATTAGGATTGACAAGGGTTTCTTGAGCTCTTCTGGAAGAAAGTCTCTAAGTCTTTAGCACGAAACAGTCGTTAAAAATCATCAGTCAAGGACGCTGTACGGAATGAACTCAAAGCACAAAAAACTGTATCAATGAAAACTCTAACCATTTATTCTGTTGGCCGGGTCAGAAACTCACACCAGTCTTGAAAAACGAATTTACCCTTGACTCTTAGAGGTGATTTACTGACAAGTTCTCCGCCCAGTTTTAATGTTTTGCCCTGCAAACAGCAGATGATAGTAGACTAATTTAATTTTTATCAGACTTTGCACGGAAATTAATTTCATTTAGAAGGGAGAAATACAAATCAGGGTTCAAAACCCCCTCACACACGTGGTCACAAAAAGGTGGAACTGATTGCATTTTCTGTTTTGGGTCTTCTACGAAACGGTACGCAACCAACATACAACACGTATGAAACGAGAGCACAATTTATACAACTTCTGAAGTGAATACTACTCTACAAAGGGTCAACATGAGGAAAGCTAGGTCCACATTTTGCTCACTACAAACACTTCTTCTTTCTTAGCTTAGCGCTTGGTCTTTTTCGCGAATGCAAGGCTTTGAAAAGGGAATGTTATGTAGGAGTATTTTTGTTTGTGTTACGTATAAAGATATCGGCTTTGGCATACGTGTTTGCTGTATATCTCAAGAATAGATCTGTAGATGTCACAGTTTCTTCAAACTCTATCGCGCCATTAACTATGATCGCGCTAATAAAGTTAAGATGGAGAAACTCCGGTCTTGCTTGAGGAGAAGACGTATTCATACAAGAATGCGGCTATTATTCCTCCCGGTATGGGACCGGCCCAGTAAACCTTGAAAGAGGAAAAGAAAAAGAAAAAATAAAAATAAATAAAACAAGTTTGACAACATTGCAAGCTGACTCTGGCTTAAACATACTTACAGTGAGTGTGCCCAAAATTTAACCTGGAGAATTGCACCTTGTTTGCTCAAATTTTGGCCCGTCATGATCTCTTTTTGGTGATTGTGAAGCTGTCCCTTACCCCTTAAAAGTGGAGTTTCCTAAGTCCTCATAATTTTCCATGCCAATCAATCATCTGCCTCCATTTGTTGGGTGCTCGATGTACAAATCATGCTTAACATCAATTTTTTTATCACGGTTGAGTTTGGGTCAGTGCTTACCTTATTACTTCGAATGGCTTAACCTTTTTCTTTCTAACTTGAGGCCCAAAAATCAATAGTGCTAAATGGGTTGGAACGAATTTAGACACGAAGGTAGTTTTGGCACACACGATAATCTCACTCGCGTAATCGACTTGCCGTAGGGAAAATGAGCAGCTAACTTGTGTCCTCAAACCAGACGTGATGGCTGATTGTCAAGTAAGGGAATTCTTCTTTGGGTCTCACTTGTATTAGGAAGCAGTGCAGGTTTTGCTACCAACTAAATTAATGCAGTTTTTCGGTTAAAATTTGGTTAAAACTTGCTTCTGGAGGCTCCTCTCGGAACGATTGTGGGTGAAACTCGCTGAACCCAGCTGCCCTAAAAACTGTTATTAAATAGACTTCATATTCGAAGTGATAACAAGCGGATTAGACAACCTCGCTTACCCAGTGATCTTTCCAGATGTTACTAATCAGGGCGGGACCGAAAGACCTAGCAGGGTTCATGCTGCAGCCAGTGAAAGGAATCTAAGAAAAAACACAAAGTAGCCAAACGTCACTCATCTCGGTTCGATCTCGAAGGAAGAAATGTGGATTTAACCTTATCGGAAACCGGTCAGAAAAATGTGTCGACAGTTATGACGGTGATGATAGCTTTAATAATTTTGATGATATGCTGGCGTGATTCGTTTTGTAATCAACTTACCCATTAACAAAATAATGCTGGGGTCTTTTGCTTTCTCTGTGTGCAAAAGTAACGGCTAAAAGTAAAAGCAATGGCTTCGTTCCGAAAACCTTAAGTCAGAACAAAAGACGGGAGTTGCCTCCCCCTCCCCAAAAAGCGGAATTATTAGTGTCCTCAAATCCTATTGTGGAATTTTAAAGCATCAGCCAACCTCTTTCCTCTCCCCCCCCCCCAAAAAAAAATGAATAAAAAAAGCTTTGTCGACATCATTCCCTGTGTTTCTCTTCTTGCGAGCTGTTTATAATATCGTCGGTCAGCTTCTTACGAGAATGCTGTGATGCTTTCAACATACCAGCCTCGCATTATAGACAAAGTTGCAGAAACTATACCATGAATCACTCAAGTCGCTATCGAAACACAAAGACTACTGCTTCGCCATTGATGGCACTAAACCTATAGATTTTTAAGTAAACGTTTTTTTGCTTGTTTTCTTTCATTAGGCCTGATGCAATGCTTTGAGGATTGTGAGTCCTACAAAACAGGAGTCAATCATCCCTTACTATTGTTGTGAGGTAATCAAAATTTATTTTTAACTTATTTAAAAGCAGAAGGTATTCATGGAGTAGGCTATGTCACATGGGAAGCATATACCCCTTGGGGAAGTGGAAAGAAGAACTTTTTATTGTTGCCCTTGTTTATAACATTACTACGCCTACCCCGCACATGTGACAGATGAACACACACACTCCTATGGACAGCGGTATGTCATATCCCCGAAGCTCCTTCCCCGGATCAGTGGCGGCAAATATGGTGAACACCAATATACACGTAAGAAAGAGCTCCAATCCGAAGGCTTGGCCAGCATTTAGGCCACTACCAACTGTAGTCGCTCCCAGTGCCCCGCGTATTTGGCTAGGTGTTAGACCATATAGAAGTGCTGCTCCTAAAACCGCTAATAGAAAGGAACAATTGAATTATCTATACTTCCAAAACCATATGAGTAGAAAACAGACTGCACGAATGTAACATACTAGGTGCGTGGCTCTTGCCTTTGACTGATTGACTATTTCTTTCGCATATTCAGTGCTCGTTCAGTTGGCAGTTGGGTTTTGTTCTGTCGGTATAAGGCCTAGAAGCTAGTGTAAAGATACGTTCGTCGAGTTGGTTTGTTTTTATTGTTAGTCGGTAAGTCGTTCGTTCGCTTGTTCGTATGATTCAGTGGCGGATCCAGGGGAGGGTCTGGGGGGTCCGGACCCCCCCTATCAGGCCTGACGCTTACAACTTTGAGATTGAAATTCTTACATCGACAGGATCGTATATCACTTTTTAACTGGCTGATTTTCTTAATTAATGAATCCAGGCAAACTGTCAGCGGCCAAGGAATTATAACGTGCAACCGCGACTGGTGGGAGGGGTGTGGGGGGTGTATGGAAGAAGTAATTTGCCTCAAAAGAGTCTAACAGTCCTTTCTGAACCAAAGTTTGGACCCCCCCAATCAAAACTTCCTGGATCTGCCCCTGTGATTGGTCACTCTATTGCTCGCTTTCGCACCTTCGTGGAGCAATCCTTTGTTAGTTCGTTCATTAATTCGTTCGCTCGTTTGGTCGTTTGTTCGCTCGTTAGGTCGTTCGTTCGCTCGTTCGTTTGATCGGTCACTCTCCATTGCTCTCTTCGCACCTTGGTGGAACAATCCTTTGCTCGTTCATTTGATTTTTGTTTGTGGTTTCGGCTCTTAAAATCTTCAGCATCCGAACTTTCCCAGTCCTAAGAAACTTTAAAGTTCTCCAAACATCAAAACCATTATTCACATCACATGATACTGGCTCAAAATGTCCACAATTTTTTCTTTTCTCCGTTTGATTTATAAACTCATCGTCTCTCTTCAGTCCTCCAAGGATTAAATAACTTTTCTTGCGATGAAGACTTAGATACAACTTTTTGGGAAAAAAGGTTCTGTAGTTTATTTTAAGAACTGAGATTGCGAAAAGATCCTTCTATTAATATGGTTGCACTATTTTTAACGAATTATCTTAATGATATTTCGTGTTATACATTTTTTAATCTTTTACTTGTAAATAGTTTTCTATTTATATTATTACCTGTTTTAGTGTAATGTTTATACGTCTATTGTGGTTTTTGTGCGTTGTTGCTCAGGGCTCCCATTGATAACAGACAGCTTTTTGCGTCTGAAGGGGCTACCCTGAGCGGTATAATTTAATAAAGGTTCTTCTTCTTCTTAAGTTTGATTTTTGTAAAAGTGCCTCCAATATATGTTTAGGTTTATTACGGAATCTGTTGGCCATTGTGTAAATGTTCATCTTGCGTGATGACAATAAACATACGAACGTTTTTTCAAAATTTTGCATTTTGATAACTTTATTTATTTTTTCAAATTTTATTCTATTTATTCAAGCTGTTTGCAAATGTACGGAAACGGAAATTTGCCCTTTTATCATAATTCACAACACACGTTTGCATATGACGTTATTCTGTCACGGTAGAAAAAATGAGACACGTTGCGGTTGAGCACAATAAGGAACAGGAACATGAATTAAAAGACGTAAGCAATTAACATCCGAAAATTATTATTACGAATCTTATGTTGCAGTGCACTAAAGGTTCTTTTTGGCATGCTCCAAGTATAGATTGAGAACTAAGGAGTATGGCAAATGAATAGCGGACGAACGCTTCTGATTGGTGTGATTAATGGGGAGATCCATTTATAGATTGGATTCTGTGATTTGTGATAGCTTGTCTTCTAGATATGTATTGTTTGTAACAGAGTTGTGGATAAATTTCTTTTGGCGTGGAACAGATTTAAAATCCCAGAAACTGTGCGTTGTACTCTTACCGTTAAAAGAGAACTCCACCAACTTTCCGTGATCAAATGGAAGAGATTTGTTAAATATATCTATCACTGACGTAAAAGTTTTATCGTCGAAATTGACCCTAATTTGTTTTCTATTTAAGAGAGGATGAAAAATTTAAGATGAATGATAGCTGGTTTCTCCCCATGTTTTCCATCGAGTTTTGAATTCACCGTCTCCGGCTCAGCGAGGTAATTAAATTAGTTTTTGCCAAAACTCAGATTCCACTGTAAGCACAATGTAAATACACGACGGAAACTGCCTCTCTGATGTTGAAATGTCCTAAATCACATTGTTTTTCGCTCTTTTAGCTAAACCGGAGATAAAATATTAAGTGTTAGCTCTGTAAGCAATTTCGTTTTTTTTTTTCAATATTCTATGACTCCACTCTTTCAATAACTCTGAGTCACAGCGAATGGGTTTTCTTCAAATTTGTTTTTTTATTATTCGATTTCATATTTAATTTCTATTATTTTAAAATTCAAGGAGCCAACTCCTAAGTGATGAATAAATCCAACAAAGATAAACCGAATATCAACCTCTTTTATTTGATTTTTAAATCGAGTCGTGTTAAGTTGGGATAGTCAGAATTATTCTTGATTTCTTCGTGAGAAGCTTTGCTGCCATATTTCAACCTATTGTACTCCTTTATCTGGTAAATGAATGGCGCCTTCTGATTGTAAAAGTTTTGCGCTAACATCCCGACAAGAAAATTTGCTCAATCAAAACGCTTTTGTGAAGCCTTGCTATTAATCATCTCTATAAGCCCAGTGACAGATTTTCCTTCCCTTTTGAAGTTTACGTATTATAATTGTTGTCTGTAACCCAGGTAATTACACATAAAAACGCAAAATATATCTTTTCGTTACAAACTTTTTGAAATCTCACAAACGGAAAAAGACGTTCAATATTTTATATTGTAAGAACTTACAAATGGTCTTTTTGTGTTCGTTTTCCTGTTGCTTGCACGTTTTTCTTTTCACTCCGACGCGGAAATTTCAAACTGAGGCTTATCTTTTGTGAATTTATTAGTCGGTGCTTTGCTAGTCTTAGAAGAAGCATAGAAAACATATTTTTGATAGTTTGATAGAAGATAATTTGATTTTTTGGCCGGTTTTCCGTCATTTCATTCTCGATAACTTGAATCCTTGATATCCCAAACCACTTTTCTTTCCTAAGTAGGTCATCTATTTAGTTTTACGGTGCGGCGATGTGGTCGAATTGAATCCATTTTGAATCAGCCATAGATTTATCCTCTTTCTTCTTTGCATCACACTAACAACGACTATCAACCCGATTTAGGTTTGCTGGTTTAGGATGCATTTAACTTAAAGTGCATTGTATTTCTATACAGTTTTGCTTCTTTACTCCTTTTTTCGGAGCGTTCCGATTTCGCTCTAGTTGTCTATACTATAATGACATTTGGATAAAATGTATAATTTTTCAACAGAATTTTAATAATTACTCTTCTCAACTCTCGATAGCTCGAGTCTTTTTCAGTTTTCCTTGATGGTTTCGAGTTACCTGGAGCCGATTGTATAACTAAGTATCGTGCATATACTCACCACCAAGAAATTGTGCGACTGTGTAAAACACTCCTTGTAACACCGAAATCTTTTTAGTTGCCATCAACGCAATGGTTAGCGCAGGATTTACCATGCCTCCAGTTAGATGTCCTGTCGCCATCGCTAGTGTCGCCACCGTTAGACCTGCAGTAAGCGAGATATGTAACACGCCGACCGACTCGTTCGAGTGCACGGTTAGCGTCGAGCCGCAAACCACAAAAACAAAAATTGTCGTCGCCAGAAATTCTGCCCCGACGCAAATCCAAAATTTGCGCTTACGGATCGCGGAATCTGTCATAGCCGATCTTCTAAGTGTAGTGGACTATTACACGGTTTGAGTTTTGTCTCAGGTTTCCTCACGTTTGCTTGTTGTTTTCCTGGTTTATAAAAAGTCACGTTCGGATTGGATGCTATTTTAGTTCTTACTTTGTTTTCCATATAAATTAAATTATTCCGTTGTTTTCAACATAAACGTTTTTCTCCTTTCAATAAATCTCCGTCAGGTACGAGAACTGTCTTTGTCACCATTAAATTTTCGTTTCCGTAATTTCGAATCAATCAAACTGACCATCAACAATGAAGAGTTGACATGGAATATATCAGTATTTTTTTTGACAGAAGTGAAGCGAATTTTAAGTTCTTAAACTGTACGGTGTATAGTATATTCGCAGTCACCATAACAACGATTATCAGTGCAGATTTTTCACATCAATGAAATTGCAGTGATAAATGTTGGTACTTTTGTAGATAGCGAGGGGTTCGTTTGTTTCCCTCAACATCTGCAATTTTCTCTGATTGTGGGTTTGGTTTCTTGTATATTTATGCCCTCATATTGAGCATTGTATAACGATAGTGCTAGAGGTTATTGTAAATGAAGTTTCTTTACGAAATTGCAAAGGGACCTGTCGTTCTTTATCGTTTTGCGTTTTGATTGTGTCACAATGATTTACCAGATCCTTACCTAAGGCCCTGTAGGATACTTATGATTCCCCTTCATTGACACTCGATATTCTGTATTCCCCCCTTTTTAAAAACTGTGTTGGAGACGAGTGAGACTCGCTCCCAGGGCTACCCCTGAAAACCAAAAAACCACCGCCCCACCCACTCCCTGGCAATAAATAAGGACTGGTCCCTGAGGTCATAAGAAGTAAAGTGGCAAAGTGGCAAACAGTGCAGATAATTTATTCATAGATCTTGTGAAAGAGTGAAAGGGTGCATCTAGGTACATGTAAGTAAGCGAGTTCAGAGATCGCTACACTCCGGCAGACCTCGTATCCATTCCTCTACCCCAACTTGTTATTTTATCCACCAAACTGAGACTGCTGATAAATTACAAAGGGGAGACCATAAACTTCGATGTATCGTTGTCATTGAGTTCCACATTGTAGTTGTCATCTTCCAAAGTGTTTTGGTTGATTCTCCTCCGGGCGAAAAACAGCTGGTAGGTGCACGTTGCTAGGAGACCGCCAACAATAGGTGCCACCCAGTAAATCTATAAAAAAACATGTTTTTGTCAGTCCACATAGCCCACTGAATATTGATATTTATAACAATACTCCTTAAACTGAAGATTTCGACTTTCGAGAAAGTAGAAATGCACTGTTTTTCAGCCTCAAACCTCCCCATTGTGTTTTCAAGAACTAAAAGAAAGCAAGGGACAAATTTTCTGGAATCACCGAAAATTCCAGAGAAGAGAGCTTCAAAAAACAGGGGCGGGGCATAGGGCCAAAATCACCACCGGGATAAAAACTGTATCCCGAGCGATACATTTTAATTATGCAGGGTCCTGTCATTACTAATCAGCCAATCACAATCGTTTGTCTATTGATTGAATAACTCACCCAATGGTCTCTCCACAAATTCATAACAACGGCAGGACCAAGGGAACGAGCTGGATTCAAACTGGCTCCAGATGAAGGGATCTGCAATATGAGTCAGTGCAAGAGTTATATGTGTATATCTTTCCAAATCTTCAAGATTATGAATGGCATTTCTCTTCTCCTATACCTTACAAAGCTAGAAACAAGTCAAGCTCTGAGAAGATATGGCGATTCTTTTTCTCTTAGTTGCTCAGGCTTCGATATATGTTATCTACCCTAATCTTCTAATGTAACGTACACGTGCTGGAGCTGTTGCTTACCCCATGCATCAGACAAATGAACACACAAATTCCTATGGCCAGCGGTACCCCATATCCTGCCATGTCTCTGTTGGGGTCAGTCGCAGCGAATATCACAAAAACCAATATGAAAGTCAACATGAGTTCCACTCCAAACGCCTGCGCAGTAGTGACACCATTTGAAGGAGCTGTAACACCCAATGAACCAACAGAGTCATTTGGGGTTAGGTAGAAAACTATAGCTGCTCCACAAATAGCTACAAAATAACAGAAAACAAAGAAATTGATCAGATGGACCATCATTTGAAGATCTAGAGTATTTATAAAGCTGTGTCAGTTTTCACCAGTCTTTGTCTTAAAGACAATGTCCAGCTGCCGTCTCTTTCAAGGCTACTGTTACAGCTCTAAATGGGGTAAATTTCTCAAGAAACTGTGGTGCTGCGTATGGTGGGGGTAGGGGTGGGGGTATTTGGTTTTATCAACTGAGTTGATTACGTTAATTGGCCGCCACAGAGAGTTTCTGGAGCTAAAGTTTCAAGCCTTAACCGGCCCTCTTCAGAACGAAACAAAGACGCTCGAAACGTCCCCTGTTTAGGTTCGTTCCTTTTTACAATCTGAGTCGAGGAGCCTTCTCTTAATGTCTTAAGTAAAGCACAGCTTGAAAAATGGAACGGATAGGTGAATTTTTTCCGCTCCTTGAATGTATCATGTTGTGTCTTTGCTGGGTAAAATTAAGTCAGCTGTCACTTGACTTTTTCTTTCTTGTATTTGTCCAGATTTGGTCACCCGGTCGAGTGACTTTCTTTTGACAAATGAGCTCCGCCTTACTTTAAGGCCGCTGTATGTGATTGATAGGTGGATGTCTAAAGTGTTGGTCGGCTGTGTTAGAAGATTGTCGAAACCACAAAATATTTTATACATATCCATGCTCTTCAATCCTATTATAGCTAGTCTGAATAAGAATATCATGGGGAAGATATTGGACTTGGCGCAAAGCTAAGATTAAAAGTTGCGTATTTAGGGTCAAGGCGGCAGCGGCATAGTGGATGTCAATCAGCAAAAAGAAACTTCTGTGAAAAAATAAAAACTGTTTAGAATACAAAAATTGTTTGCTTTGTTCTCATGAAGGATAAATCTGAATTTTCGGGGCCAGAATTCTTTGAAAAGACAAGCTTGGCAATTTTTAGCAATTTTGAACCGGCGCAGTTGAAAATAGGCCTTTGAGTGTAGAAGCGATTTTCGTTCTGCTAAAATGTTTTTCTATAATATATGGAAAAATCAAGTTGGTCTGGACTATTCTGTAGAAGCCGTTTGAACTGTAATGTCGTCCATGTTTTTGACTCAACCATACTGTAAGTTGTTTTTTCTGTGAGCGAAAACTCCATATATTTCAACCATGGACGAAAAACGTTTTGGGCGATAAACCTGTGTATTAGATGTGAAGTCCTTAATTTTATCATATTTTCCGGTGTTCTAGCAATTTTAATTAAGTACCGCATGAATGATTGTGGTATGTTATTGATTTGGATCAAGGCTAAACAATTTTCTCAAGATACCAAGACTAATAAAGCTGGATTTTTATTTCANAACGGCCTGCTCCCAGTTGGCTTGTTAGCTCAATTGGTAGAGCGCTGCACTAGTATCGCAGAGGTCAGTGGTTCGAATCCCGTACAGGCCTGATTTTTTTCAGGTCTGATTTTCGCTATTGCTTAAATAGCGCTATCTACTGCGAGGATCGTGCATCATACGTATCTAATACCGCAGTTCAAAATATATGAACTTCATATATTTCATTGTATCTGATTTATCACTTTCACGGGTTTATTACGAATCAACTTAACGGCCTGCTCCCAGTTGGCTTGTTAGCTCAATTGGTAGAGCGCTGCACTAGTATCGCAGAGGTCAGTGGTTCGAATCCCGTACAGGCCTGATTTTTTTCAGGTCTGATTTTCGCTATTGCTTAAATAGCGCTATCTACTGCGAGGATCGTGCATCATACGTAAGGTAAATTTTTATTTGTTACTTCTCAAATTTATCGACGTGTTTCTGCATAAACTAAGATGAGAAGTCGCTCTACGCATGGTGCTTTATTCTTTCCCTTACGTATTATGAGAGACCATGGACGAAAAACGTTTTGGGCCATAAACCTGTGTATTAGATGTGAAGTCCTTAATTTTATCATATTTTCCGGTGTTCTAGCAATTTTAATTAAGTACCGCATGAATGATTGTGGTATGTTATTGATTTGGATCAAGGCTAAACAATTTACTCAAGATACCAAGACTAATAAAGCTGGATTTTTATTTCAAAGTACATTCAGTAAAATGACAGCCCGTCTTTGGCTTAGTACCAGCAGGTTAACGGGGCTGAAAAAGTTTTCTGTCTTTAAAATTTGGTCGACAAGGACATATATTGTACTTCTTTGTTTAGCCAAGTAGAAGTTTGTCTTTTGAACCTTTTACGTTGTCGTTCGACTGACAAAGCTGCTAGAGACGAAGCGGTTTGCGATGCGTACCGGTCTGGCGGAGGTGCTTATCGAGCAACAAATACATGAGGGCCAGGTCACAGTATATTTGTGGTCATAGCAAATAGATAATAGACACTCCTATCATATTTAGTCGAAGAGAGTGATCATATTTAGTTGAAGAAAGAGACGATAAAAGTCGGGCAGTAATCGAAGATAAAAACAACTGTGCTGCAGGTTTTGTTAGGAGCACCCCGACCGTAGGCAATCTCTTTGTTCAGTCACATCCAGTGTCTAAGTCAGTTAATTACACCGCTGTAGGAAGAAAAAGGTTTTGGATATATCAACAAAGTTGAAATGGTAAATTGGCCACCGTAATGATTACAAAAGCTGACGTTTCGAGCGTTAGCCCTTCGTCGGAGCGAAGGTTTGTTTGTTTTCCAATAAATTTTTTGGTCAGAAATCTCAAATTATCTTATGCGAATCAATCTGTTTCTCAACCGCAATTTGGTAAAAGATCTCGTAACAAATTTTGATATCACGGTGTTTCATTTCATAAGAGTAGTCATTTCCTTACCTTCGCTTAAATGATTACACAACATAAATTAATCCCGCAAGGGATTTTTTCTTTGTTTTCGCGCTTAAGTGATTCTTTGTCATTCTTTCGTTCATTACAATCAATTTAGTTTCAAAACTAAATCCAAGGTAGCTAGGTGTGATGTCCAAGCAATACATGAGTATACGAGCAACCTTTCGGTGGCAGCTCAAACACATAGCAGAATCACATGTGTAGAATGATAGAACGGCCGGGTTGAATATCTTTAATGTAAATGTCACAAGCACTCTGCACTGTCACGATATGACTATTCAAGTGTTAGCATTTAATTCTGGCTCACAAAAGATGGTTAATAACATAAATAATAAAAGCTTTACTTAAATCCAGCTGCAAGCAGTTTGGCTGATTGATCAATAGAAGTAGACTCGCAGTGGAAGGGGGCGTGAAGACCTAGTGAAATCTAAAATCCATACCGTTCGAAGTGTTAAGAGCTGCTTTCAAATAAATTGAAAATCTATTCAGTTAATTTTAAACGCTTCAAACTGTTTATCGTTCTTGCTCTAAAGAAGCGCTAGAACCAGTATCTACGTGCACCCTTACCCAGTCCACAAACAGTGTCAATTACACCTTACCTCCAGCTCACTGAGCAATGATGAAAAACACAGCTTTTAAGACTGAAACCCTTCCAACTGCCATCATACTGATGGTCACGGCTGGGTTAAGCTGTCCTCCCGAAATGTGAAACACCGCCATCGCTAAGGTCGCTATACTTAGTCCATGACTGAAAGCAATGTGTATAACGGATGGTGGTGTGTTATTCCACGGTAACACTGTGCCACAGACCATGAACAGGAACAAAAGTGTGGCCAAAAATTCCGCGAAGACTTCGGTCCACAATTTGCGAGAGCGGAATTCCATTTTCCCATCGCGGAGAAACATATCGAAACTACTTGTTCTTTTCAAGAGTTAAAGAGAGACTGTCACTTGCCTAATGTCTATGACGAAAATTTCCGTTGATGTTTAACTGACTTACACAACACCAAACATCACCCGATCACCCGATCATGGAAACGATAATTTATTTTGTAACCAAGCCTGGCTGGTCGAGGACCGCTGAGTGGGGTGTGCTCCTTTTTTAAACCTCATAGAAGTCACAAACGCATGCGTAGCACAAAGGGGCGTACTATGGTAACGGATATTGCAGAAGGTACTGGTGAGTCCATCAAACCATCATTGATTATGAAAGCCGACAAGAATCAACGGTGGGCGCTGACCGTCCATGCATAATTCCACGCGTATTGCGTGGAAAAATGAAGGGAATGTTTTTGCCGGTCAGATTGTTCAAGATAGAATGCTTGAAACATTCTGCGATCAAGTGCAAAAAAGCTTCACAAAAATCTACTGAAGAAAAAGCTCTTCCGTATTCTTGACCACTGCATCAATAATTTTGTTCAAAGACTCAAAGAGTCACAACTTAACAAGAGGGGTTCATATCCCTTCCTAGAGGTCATTAAGTCCTAAGTGGGTTTTCAAGACCAATGTAGGAAAAAAGCAAACAGACAACTGTGCATGAAAATGAACCGACAAGGAACTCAAAGAGCACGAATAAGATCCGTTATATTACAAATGTAATAATTTGGATATATCAACAAAGTTGAAATGGTAAATTGGCCACCGTAACGATTACAAAAGCTGAAGTTTCGAGCGTGAATGAAGGCTTAGACATTCGCTCCGACGAAGGGCTAACGCTCGAAACGACAGCTTTTATAACCGTATCGGTGGCCAATTTACCATTTCAACTTTTTTGATATATCCAAATTATTTCGTTACTCCCACCGACGCAGCCCCAAAGAGTTTCTTTCGAAACTATCAGCCTTTATTCATTTATATTGCAAATGTGGTCGGCGGGATCGTCAGAATGTTTAGAACAATGGTAATAATCATGATAATGATAGTAATTTAATCAAACGCCAGTGGTTTTGCGTGGTCTGTACTCTCATCGACAACGATATCCGCCATCACAGTGGTCGATTTGTTTTTAACCACAATATCGACATAAAGTTTCCGAGTCAGCCATGTTTTAGGCATTGCGTGACGGGATGACGCGAGCAGCGTTGTCTGTACCCCTATCAACAACGGAAGAGTGGCCAATCATTTTGCGACGTTACTGCCATTATGGTGAAAAGAAATATTGACAAAATTGCTAATTATTATAATGACAATGATAATGATGATCATATGGATAGTGAATTTGATGATAATAAGACCAACAGACCAAGCAGAAACCTGAGCAAAAAAGGAGAAGACGAAGAAAACAAAGCGTAACAAAAAAAAGGGGGGTTACAGACTGGATTTAGGGTTCGACAAAGAGTTCGCTACTCAAGATTACAAGATAAGTGCCCTAGCCTAAATGGTCATGATTCACCAAATATAGATCCCGCAGGAATTTTGAAATTTTTATTTCCTTATTCATGAATAAAGTCTATGATAATGAAATACATGAAAAATGTCTCAAAATCATGATGCTAAAACATCAGGCTAGGTCCTAAGAGGCTGGACGTATATCAACTTCGAACCGTAATTAAGCTTATAATTACCCAATCAATTAACCTTATTCTTCACATGAGAAACGCTAGCGCACAACCATTGCAGTTAAAACAAGAATATGATATACTTTCTGCCACAACTATAGCTACTTCTACTAAAGTAGCTTATGCAAATGGTTTAAAAAACTGGTTATAAAGTATAAAATTAGGCTCGCAACGGGACTAGAAATCTTGCTCTTCGTCATTCACAGGCCTGATTGGTAATTTTCCTTTCTAGCTACTTTAATTTTCTTTGTAAGGTGAAAAAGAGAAATAGGTATTACAGATAAAAACTCATTAGCTAGTATGTCTGTCGTAGCAAGATGTATCGATGCTGTAAAGATAAGATACACGAAAATCGCTTCTGGGAATTTAAGGTGCAGATTGTCATCACTCTCTGGAACCTATCCTCAAAAGACGCTCATAAATGTACCTGTGTATTAAAGGCTCAAGAAATTCTCAGAACAATAGATGGTAAGTTGAACAAATCGCTAAAATCTAGCTACCAATGGAAACTCAGTTACTGACAGATCCTAATCAAGGTGTTTCTCCAAGGTTTACAAAATAACACGACAAGCGTGAAAACATTTTTGCTTTGTGCATACAAAGATAAACATTTCTCAGCTCAGAACGCAAGAGGAAAATGTACGCTAAGTTCGCTAAGTTGTGATAACACTAAAAAAATGGCCACCTTAAGTTCTTTTTATTCTAGTGCACGTCAAAAGAATCGTTTTTCTTTAACAGGCCCCTTCGATATTTAAAATTCTAAATCGCTGCTATTCTCTTTACAAAAATTCTTATAATCATGATTACCCAAGGCCTCTTACGTACTTTTTGCGCATAAAAGAGATTCATTTGAAAGAAGGCCCATTTAACATTAATTACAAAATCACTTATGTCTCTTTCTTTTTCAAACCTCTAATAGCAATACCTAGAAAAGCTACTTTAATACAAGCCACAACCTTTTATATGCTGCTTGAGTACTGCAAGTAAGCGTTCTTGAGAAAGTCGCATTTTAAGCGATGATATTACTCCTTCACAGTTCAGAGCTTGGAATCTGGATAGTTGTCCAGTTCACTCACAGAACCAGCTGTTGGGCCTTGTTCTTGCCTCGCTCGAAATATCACCTGATACAGAACTGCTGCAATTAACCCTCCTCCAATTGGACCAACCCAATACACCTGCAAAACCAAATCAGTGTAAATTTCAACGATGAAAATCTCTTGTTCCGTTTGAAGGTGGCCTCCTACACCTTTTTCTTATAGAACTCCGCAACAAGTGAGATGTCCTCTTTTGGTCGGCAATGCGTACGAGATGATGCATCTCTTTCACTATTATGATTTACAATTGAATCTTTTTCTTTCTTACAAACATTTCCTATTTATAGGTGAGTGGCCACAAGGACTTTAGAGTCCCACCTGACCACCTTCTGCACGCTATGCAGCAAAACAAGCAGTAGCTAAAGGTAAAGCTTGGTATATTTTTATGTTACTTTGATATATTGCCATGCTACTACCCAGGCGTTTCACAGACACTAAGAAACGAGCGCGAACCATATGGGACTGGTGACAAGCGCGAAGCAATCCCCCACTCGAAAGGCCTTTTTTAGCGAAGAGAAGTTTCGATGCGAGACTGAATAATAGTTTCAGGCACTGTTACCTACCCAGTGGTTTTCCCAGATTTCGGATGTATTCATGATCACAGCCGGACCAAATGAGCGAGCAGGATTAATGCCACATCCTGTAAAACCAATCTGAAAGAATAAGAGTGAGTGTGAGTAAAATAAGCTGGACCAGACTGAATGCGAAGATAAATCGTTTGCATCGAACTTCCTAAATCAAGGGATATGAAGCCATCAATTTTTTCCACTTACCCCAATGAAATGGCACACAGCCACACAAAGGCCAATTGACAGAGGGACTTCGTATCCATAGTGATTCCTCTTGGGGTCCGTACTCGCGCACACAGTGAAGACCAGGAGAAATGTCAGCAAGATTTCAATACCGACTGCTTGGCCTGCAGTCACTTCGGGACCTGGGACAGTGGCGCCCAGAGTACCGCGTTTTGCCTCTGGTGTGATGTATTTTAATACTGCTGAGCCTACGATACCTGCCATGAAGAGGATAACAAAAATACATTGTTTTCAGACTTCAGTGAGCTCGATCTTTAATTTAATGCAAAATAGACTTGTAAAGACAAAGGAACTGACGCGTGTTAGCAAAAAGACACAAGCTAATGATAGAACGAAAAATGTTTCTAATTGACGTACATAAGTGTTTAACACAATCTTGGCAACCAAGGGTGCACGAGTTATACATTTTTTCTCTGAGCATTGGCAAGTGCGTCATATGAATAACTATCAAACGACACGCAGCACGCAGTTGTGGCACATTTACATGATTGCGTCGACGCATTGAAGTGTTGAGGGCTGTCAACCATTTCCCCCCTTCCGGCTATTCAGTTAACCGGGGGAGTGGGGAAGTAGTTTATCGGAAGTTTAGAGTGGGTGTGTTGCTTCCACACAGGAAAAAGTCTAGTTTAGATTGCAGTGCACTGATGTTTAGCCTACACGTCGAAATTCCCAGATTTCAATTTCTTTCTCTGGACTAAACTGTTCGAGGTTCACACATTGTCACCAGTACACATCTACGTGGCCTACCCATTATAGCAGCTCTCCTTCTCCACCTCCCCCCTCGCCATGTCTAAGACAAACACGATTGTTCAATCTTAAGCTGCTAGAACGTCGAGGCCGAACGAATGTTACTTCCTTTGCAGTGTTAAATTAGGCACTTGATGATATCTTAAGTACTGTTTCACACTTCACCAAAACTCATAAATCTTGTCCACTTGTAAAACTCATTACGAAGATGGCAAACATTCAGTAATTGACAAAAAACCACCATTGTTCAAATCTGACCTTCAAATGGCAATGTCTCCGTTAGGAAAATTAACTACCACCCCGCTTTTGCTGGGTTCAACTTAAGTCATGTCAAATGACGGTTTAACTACAAAAGACAACAGAGGATGACAAATTGCTCCTTAATAAAGTCAGCATATGTCTGAATATGCCTGCAAGGAAAATTAGGCAAAGGAATATATATATATATATTTTTTTCTATTGTTTTGACTTGATCGAGCTTTCATCCAACAGGAAATAGTAACCATTTGCATCGCTGTTTTGCGTTCATGTTTTCATTCAACGTTTTTTCTTCCCTGGCAAAAATAACTAATCGAATTTCTCTAACATGTAAACAGTAAGTGATTGTCCGATGGAGACGGCTTGGCCCAATAATCCTTTTTTTTTGGGGGGGGGGGGTGTGGAATAAATTGAGCTCTAGAAAGTACACGAAAATTTAACACGGCATGCATTGCGTTTGGCAGCCCTAACTTTAAGTTGCTTGTATGCCCTTGTTACATCAATGTTATTTACGAGCTTGCGGTTGAGTGCTAAAAGCACTCGAAATTTAGTCACGTTCGTTTCTATCGAGGCATGTGAAATCATGTGGGCAATAATGACAGCTTTCTAAGCACAAAACATTCTAGACATTTTTTGAATTGATGCCAGTATGGTCTCACCAAATACCTGAAATATCATAAATATGCTTAACCTTTTACGATTTTCAGTGTTGATGTCTCATTTATGACGTAATCTGATGTGGCAGTGGCCGAAAAATGCCCAAACATTTACCATAGTGAAACAATTTTGCTGAGTGAATTAAATAACACTCTCGTGGTTTTACAGGCAATTGAGCCGCCTGTACGCAAGATATCATATGACGTCTTAGGAAGTCTTGGTACTCGTGCTTGAGAAAGCATTGATCGAATGCCATTTGGTCAATTTCTTTGATCCAACGTAATATATTGTGAAGGCACCAGAAACATGTTGTATTGTATTTTTGTCGCCGTTTTCCCGATATTAATTAAAAACTGCAACCAAATTGAAAAGATAGTTATCTTTTCTCGTGATTGGAAAATTAGCAATCGACATTTGTATTAGTCTTAACTTTTGAGTGTGACAGTTTTGCGTTGGAGCCATTTTCTCCACGGCTCATGGTGGTAATACTTCTTTTTTGGCTTAGAAACAGCGTTTGGCGCATTCGTTTCTGTCCCGAAAGAGATTTTAATCTTTCGAGTCATTGGAGCGTGTGTAAGCAATAAAAACTAGTTGAGTAGCGAATGTCTGCGTCGGTTACATCGAAAAAATCTGACGACTTCTTCGAAACAACGAGTAGTTTCAACAGTTATGGTCGTTGCCTTTTTTTTACCATTAATTTAAGTCGTTCATGAAGGTTCTTCCTTTCCGCATCTATGAATGAAAAATTAAGGTTGGACAAAGTTGTTTACATCAAGAGTAATAGTTGCATTTAGTGTTCTTACCTCCGACCAGTTGAAAAATTACATAAGTTATCCCCCGAATTACTGACACTTTTTTGACGGCCATCATGGCAATGCTAACGGCGGGGTTGATATGCCCGCCACTGAGGTGCAAACTGCACATCGCCAGGGTTGCAATGCTTAGTCCGAAACACAAAGAAATCAGCTCTGTCGACGGAGGGTGCATCGAATTCCATCTGATGGTTGTACCAGTTGTCAGGAAGATGAAAAAGAAAGTTGCGATCAGCTCCACCAGGGCACTGGCCCAAAAGTGACGGCTCTTCAGCTCCGACATTAGCATCATCGTGGGTAGCGTTCTCTTTTGCGCCGCTTAAAAACGTGTCCAGCTCAGTATACTCGGTGTGACTATCTGGCAACGCTTCAGAGGTCTTGGCCCATTATATGTATGTTGATATGCCCGCGTTCCTCCAAGTCTTTTGTTATGGAAATTAAGCACTAATTGCAGTAAAGAAAGAGCGAGAAGGTGTTAAAATTACTTTTACGTGCAGAAATGTCATTTCTATTGCTACTGAGTAGCATTAGGCAGCATTAAAGAATCAAGAAAATTTCCTTAAAAGAGTAACCCAAAAGATACTTTTGAGGGCCTTCATTAAAGGGAGCATAAAACTCAACAGTGACCAATGGTTCAAGTCTCCCTTCTATGATAATGGTTTTTAAAACGAATGACTAGCGAGAACTGAGAAACTGATAGACAAACAAGGACACATTGTCTTCAAACATTGCATGTGATTACTGAATACCAAAAACAAAAAAATAACAGAAAATACTTAATATGTCGCGCCTGAAATTGATTGATTTAGCCACGCAAGCTGGATTTCGCTGGCTTGAGTTTTGAGCTCAATGGATGTTGGGCCGAATATTACTTTTAATAGAATATGTTGTGGTTCATGATCATGGTTATATCGATACAAATAAACGTTTAATCGTTTACCTCGCAATGTAAAGAGTCAGGCTATAAATTGTATTAATGGTCGCCTGTCGAAGAAAAGCAGTATTGCAGTCGAAACGTCCCAATCAATACAATTGATGGATACTACTTGTGGCTTGGCAGCCTTAAACTTGAGCAGCACAGAGAATAACTTTCTTTGTGTAATGCAGATTTCATCCTCTCTTAACGGGTCCTCGATAGCGCTATTCCCGTAGAGAGGAAGGAATAAATTGAGTCACTCGTCTCGTCCATGCCTAGCGTCCTGAACGAGTCTTGCGGGACCAGAATCAGAGAGGAAGCAACGTTTAGGGTGGTTTTTTCCTCACCCGAAATTTTGCTGATTTTCTGACTTTTTTGCTTGGCTAGCTGAATCAGCCTAAGTTAGACTTCGGGTGGGTCGTCAAGCTTGAAGACCGCTTTAAGTCTACCCCATGCACCACGAGATAAGATAGCATAAAAATCTTTATTCAGTATTTAGCGCAAGTGAACGGATTGAGGATACTAAATATTGGAATAGAGAAATCTTCCTTGCTAAAAAAACTAAAAACAGAATTATAAGTTTTACAATGTGATAGATTTTAGGTTAAATATATTTTTCCTTTTGATGTGGTTCAGAAGTTTACTAAGTGCTAAACTGAATTTAAAAAGTAGACGACATTTAATTAGTAACCGTGACCATGAGAAACAATACAGGATAGTTTTCACTCTGAAAATGTCCCAATCTTTGTAATTTTACAGATATGCTGCATGCATCACGATATTTCGATACCTTACCTGCGTCATATATAGAGAGTGGCCTTTAAATATACTGAACAAATTCTTGAAATAATCGTTTTAAAGGTTGAGCAAACTCTATGAAGAGAAAAATCAAGGGAACGGGAAATGAATGGTAACGGATGGCAAGGATCAAGACAGATTTACGGGCAAATAAAAATAATAAAAAAAAACTTAGGCTTAAATCTCAAGGAACACAAACCGTGAAGTTTTTCCTTTAAGAAACTTTTTCAACATTGGCATGCAACATTTCAGGCAAATCAGAGATCACATGAATTTCTAATGATCCGTAAAAGGTCCACGCCGCGTCGTTGATACTTAAGTATGACCTTTATGCTCTCAATGAGATGATGGATCGTTAGCGTATTACAATCTCGGGACTTCAACTTTCCCACAAAAAAGAAAAAAAAAAAAGAAAAGAGACCGTTGGTGGTGCTGCGCGGTGAGCCTTTTGAAAACCTTTTCCTTTTTTGACACCAAACTCAAATCAGGATCTGAAGTTTCACTAGCCGAAATCAGTCACTCCATATGTTTATTACGTAGTCGTCGGTTATTAGGTTTTAGCCCCTGTGGTTATGTTCTCAAACCTACCAGGGGGGAGCCGTTGGTCCGTAAAGCCAGACAAGAATGGCTGAGTTGTTCCTACCCAAAAATTGCTTTGCTGGCATAATTTACATATCTATTTATCGACCTTAGCATACCTCACATGTACCCTGCATGGCGAGACGTTTACTTCAAAATGATTGATAATTTGTCCTAGACAAAGTGCCCCTTTCTTGTCCGTCTTAGGAATGTATGAAAACTTTTTAAAATAAGCATTTCCGATTTGAGTTATATTTTGTATGTTTCCTTTCGTGGGGGATGTTGATATGTGTCTCACCAGGAAAGATGAGGGTATTTTAAGTTAATACTGTCGATTTTGGAATCCAGCGACCTCCGAGCCATCAGTGAGGAAGGTGATGGCGAGACTCCGTTCTCTTTGGAGTAATACATCACGATAACAATTGCAATGGCCATCTTCAGAAGAAAGAAATGCAAGATCGATAGCGCTTAAATCAAGTTATGTCCGATGGGCTTAATAAACTTGAAACAAAATGTATCCCTATAAAGATAAATCCCGTGCGATCATTGGCATCTTACTACATTTGGAGACAGTAAAGTGGGCGGCTAGGATACTTAACCATTGTTGAAAAACTGCACTGAGTGCCTGCTGTGATCTTACAGCCCTATTATGTAAGGACAGGCTCCGTTGCAGTAAATACCGGCCTGTTTCTGTGGCCGGATATTGTCCTTTTCTGCTTGTGCTCTCTCATCTCTTTGTCAGGGCTGTTGTGTTGGTGTCGCCTGCTGTCAGGTCTCGCTTATCAATGTCTTCTTTGAAAAGAATATGGGCTTTCGTTCAGGTCCGTGACACCTCTTTCAAGTTCAGGATACAATATGCTCCTTTGGTTTGGCCCATTACGCTGACTTACGCAAGAACAACGACATTGCCATGATTATCCCTCATTCAGTGGGTTCAACTGTAGTCTGCAGGATTTTAATCGGCGATGTTCGGTCATCGATGTTCTTCAGATTTCGGAATTCTTTGTAATACCTTTTTCTTCATAGTTGACTAAACATGCTCTGTTTCCTGTGTAACCTTGATTGGGCGACTTAAACTGTTTTAAGTGCCTGAATTGGATGATTTCTTACAATTTTTTTATGATTTTTAAGGAATTGGATAATTTTACTTCCCACGAATCATATACCTGACAGCTTCATGATTTGGAACGCAAAAGCATGCAGCGAACGTTTCTTCGCCAAAATTGCATGATCCTTATTTCCGTTTTTCTCGATGCAATTTTCCCCTCATTTTCACCATCAGTTCTCGCTCCCAGCGGGTGCATTGGGCATTAAAGTAGCTTCCCCCCTCCTATCGACCCTCTGAAATTTGAGAAGCTTGCTCCCGATAAGAATTGGGGGCTGGAGTTCTGCCACTGCAATCATCCATTCGGTGAGTTTGAGTCGGTCTTGTTTCCTTCCACGCTCCAGTGCCCCCCGTTTGATTGCAACATCAGAGGTTTCACTGTTTTCTCCATTAAGAACGTGATCAGTGCATTGTTATTTCAGATCTCTTTGTTTTCCTTTTGAAAGATGTATGAATCTATGGAATGTATCGCCTCCTTTTACTCTACGGTGCACGTTATCTCGTGGAGATATTGCAAACGAGAGGGAATCACCAGCTTTAACCTTATCCCTCCATCATCACTATTTAAATACATTTTAAGATAAAAATAGGAATGCTGTGTTAATTATAATCACGGAAATTTTTTTTGGAAATCATTTACAATACACACCATGGATTACTGACGACTAAGTTTGCAAATTTCAAATTGCCCCTATCCCAACTATGATCCAGAAACTAATTGATATGAGTATAATTAACAATTATTCCACAAGCGCGCGTTGGATATGAGATGATAAATAGCCAACGAGGCGCGTAGCGCCGAGTTGGCTATGATCATCTCATATCCAACAAGCGCGAGTGGAATAATTGTTTTATTAAAAAATGCGCTCCCAAGATATTAGACAAATCTTCTCGACTTTATTTTTTTAGAAGAAACCGGATGTTACAATGTACAGATATTAGATTATGGTATATTGGCTCATATACCATAATGGCTAAGCCAATAAAAAGTCTTGAATTGCATTATCCAATGATCCAGTTTTTAATAATATGTCTTATTAAAAACTGGATCATTGGATAATGCAATTTAAGAATTTTCATTGGCTTAGCCATTATGGTATATGAGCCAATATACCATAATCTCATATCTGTACATGGAAACATTCGGTTTCTTCTTACAAAATAAAGTCAAGAAGATTTGTCTAATATCTTGGGAGCGTTTTTTTTTAATAAAACAATTATTCCACTCGCGCTTGTTCGATATGAGATGATTATAGCCAACTCGGCGCTACGCGCCTCGTTGGCTATCTATCATCACATATCGAACGCGCGCTCGTGGAATAATTGCTAAATAGATTTCAAGCAATTATTGCTAATTTCATTCCCCGAACTATTATACCTATGTTTCAGTTATTATTATTTTTTTTATATCATTATTATTTTGAACAAAACACATCACTGTGGTTTACATTTAAGAACGCTTTAAAGGTTTAGCACTTTATGGAGAAGGTGATTTTCTAACGGTTTGAGAGACGGCTTGCGTGCATTTGAACAATGTATCGACAAGAGGTTTGTCGCGTAGCAATGGCGACCGAAAATGAAAAAAAACTTCACTACCTAATTACTTGAAAATCCATATGTTTGTCAATAAATGATTAAGCAAATCCAAGTTGAATATGTGAGGACAAAGAGTAAACGTTTGCAGAAACCTTTGTCGACAAAACTCATTGACCAATAATTAGCAGTGCGGTATTTTTTTCCATGACGCCTAACGCTTATTGTTCAGCTTCTCCTTATCTACCAATAAAAACAACCAGTAAGAAAAGTTTGTTGAATCAATTTACAGGAGCCCTGTTGTGATCACGTATAACAAGTTCTCCTTGGTCAAATGATCGCCAAGATCTTCGATCCTATGTGTGCTTATGAAAAACGGACCGGGGTCTCGTAAATGTCGTATTTCATGGGCAGTAGGAAAATATGGCAGATTCTGATTCCGGTACCCATGTTACGGACATAAGTGAGCGTCTTCAGGACGATTTTGAGCTCAGAAAAGAAGGTACTTTGCAATGCTTTCTGTATTTAGCGGATTATAAAAAAAAAAAAAACACGGCTTCCTAATTTCGTTTATTAGCGCTCGAATTTCTCTGCTCAAAACAAGTCTCAATTAGGTCCTCTTTGTTTCAGCATTGAACTTCACATCTACATCGACTATTTTTTCTAACCGCACCAGTTCGATGACGAAGTTAATTTTTCTTGTCGGCTCAAAACTGTTCTCAACTGTTGAATAGCTGGGCCCTGGAAACATGAAGTTTAAGACTTCATTAAACTTGGCATCATTGCAAATTAATTCAAAATGGTAATGTCTAGTTTCAAGGGCACGCGAGCGAGAAAGCTACCAAACTTCGAAATAATTACTACGATTAAAGAGCTCTGTAATTTATTCTGTGTGAATTATGCATTGAGTCTTAACTGTTCACTAGGCAAATTATATAATGCAGATTTATAACGTGGGGAAAACTCCTTATTTTGAACATTCACTTCATAGTACGAAAAAGTAAAAATAGATCTTATCGATTAGAATTCGATTTTGATCCACTTTCGACGGAGTTGAAATATTATTTTAATTAACTACATTCAGCACCGAAGAGATCTCTAGTGTAGAGAGAACTTGAATTGCATGCAAAAGGTTGATTACTTAAGTTTAATGGCTTTACGTTACAGCCTGAGAGTCTTAACTAATACCAATAGCAAGTTTAATTTTTTTGTTTTGTTTTCGCGGACATATCTCTGTCAAGGTTTGAAAGACGAATATGGTGCATAATCGATTCACTCGGTCAAAATTATTTTATGCTTTTTCAAATATTATGCTCTTCGTCCGCTGTTTCGATAGGTCACTTGTTCAGTAGGTTCCGGGATAGGAAAAGGAGCCTCAATTCAAGTTTTATATGGTTATTGTCTGAACCAAATCATACTCACAATTACTAATAAAAATAATTGACTTAAACACGAATTACTTATTAGCTGCGATGGTTTATGCTAAGTGAAGTGGCACTTTTCAGTGATATTTTTCATATCCGAACAACGGGTGATCTCATCGAGAGATGACCATACAACTGGTGAGATAAATTATTTTTATCGCTGACTTTTCTCGGACTCAGGAAAGATGATAAAGAATTTCAAGTTGTTAATTATGTCCTATCGATAATCATTTGTATTTTTGTCGCTGGCATTTCTGCAGTCGGTATTGTGGTACCCCTAGTAACATTAAATAGAAAAGAAAAATCGTCATGCTTTGCAACAGCTTGCATTTTTTATTCGAGTCTATCTCGTCATTCCTTGTCAGTATAAGACTATAGTGTGGGCTGTGGTAGAAAACGAGTAAATTAAGATTTTACCCTAATTTACATTTGCTGTAAAGTTCTTTTATTGATTTAGGCTTTTTATTAAGCCTAGTGATTCAATCTTTTAAAAATTCGGCAATTTGACGTCAAAAAAACCTCCTGATGTTTTTCATTAGTAGCGGTATCTATCTTCCTCCAATTTAAGTCGGTGAATTATCCTTCTGTTCACAGATAAGGTAGATCCTCAAGGAGGTTAATTAAGTTTCAATCTTTTAATCTCCGATGTTAAGTTTGAGTGGTTCATCTAAACTTTTTTTATTGGCATCAAGTCCTCCATAAAGGGTTAGTTTAACATCGAAATTTCATATATGTTTCCTATTGAAGTCTACTTCATTTTGGAAGAGGGAGCATTTTATTGTTTTTAAGATAGCTTAATTGAATTTTCTTTCCTCAGCTATGCTACAAACAGTGACAGAAATAGGACGCAATTTATCAAATGAAACCATCTCTCAGAGGAATTCAATTGAGATCAGTGGAGAAGATATTTCGTGGAAAAGGTCAAACTCGACTCCTTCTGGTCACCAGCGTCGAAACAGCACAGGCAGTACCCCTCGCTTAATCCGTCACGTGTCTAGCCGTACCACTTCACCTGCTCCTATCACGCAAAGTCGAGTGTCGTCACCATCTCGTTTTTCAGTAACACGCGCACCGGGATCTGCTTTTCACGTACCCATTCAAACTCCATCACCGGGTCGTCACGTGCCACACCGTGTCACATCTCCTCCCCGTCTCGCACCTAGTCATTCTGTCTCACCCACCCGTCACCTGACAAACCGGTTATCGAATCCAGCTCGACACCCGGTAACTCGAGGGCCATCTCCCGCTCAACTCCCGTCCAGTAGAGTAAATTCACCTGCTAGCCGAGTTCCACGCCGTAGAGCCGCCAATGCAGGAAGAGCCGTTGGTCGAGAGACGACACCAAGGAATAATTTGGTAATCGCAAACGTTCATACAACGCCTAGGAGATACAGAAAGGCGAATGGTGTTGTCAACTCAGCACGGCACTCTGCTCCTAACAGAGTAAGGCAAACCGCTGCTCAAACGTCGGTTAGTTATGGTGGTGCGCTCAGCGAAGGGGATGGTGCAGGATTTCTGAGGAGTTTAGATAGTATTCCAACACATTCGGGATCAAGGAGTGCGTACGATTTTGTCGACGCTAGTAAGCGCAAACCTTCAAAACGCCAGGCAAATGCGACACATGTTGATATCACAGATATAGACCTTTCTGCTCTTGAGGAACAAGAAGTAGTAATCGATCAAGTTGATGACAAACCTTGGCTCCCGACAGGAATCTATGCAGTATTCTTACTTACACTGTGGACTGCCGTACTAAGGCTTAGTGACGGTGTAGAAGCAAACGGTCCTGTTGCTTGTTCTGCTGGGGAAGAAACTCGACTTTGGATATGCGCTGCCTCCTTCTCGCTTGCCCAAGGTCTCGCTGAGGCCTTTTGGCAGCGAAAAAACATGTTCAAGGTCCTTTTTAGCATGCTATGCCTCTTTGCGTATTTCATCATTTCTCACGTGCAACCTTTATCATGTCGGTTCGGAGAGGACAGAGTCACAGAGATAAGTAAATGGCAGTCGGCTATGAACTTCTTTGTGAGTGCGTTGTTAGTAGTGGGAATTTATAAGCACATTTTGGAAACGATACAAAACCAGAGAATAATGAAAGAAAAAACGATTCAAAAGAGGCAGTGGGAAGATACAGAGGACTCAGAGTTCGAAGGATTACCAGAGGGTATAATATAACCAAGTGAGGCGGTGAGGCCCCAAGTGCATCCATACAGGAAGCAGAGGGTCAACAGGTATTTTGTTTTAACCAACGTCCTCAGTCAAGTTTCACTGTGGAGTATTGAACTTGGCGTGGAAGAAACTCTGCAAAATGACAGATATTAGCGTTGGAACAAAACGTTACAACAATTTTTTCCGTTTCAGCAGTTAGGAAAACGCAGTTATTTCAAGAACACCATTTCCTAGTTGAAACTAATCATTGCCTGTGAATAATGGGGGTAAGTTTCTAAAGAAACTGTGGTGCTGCGTCGGTGGGGGCGGGGGGTATTACAAGAAAATTTATTTTTATCAACTGAGTTGGTAACGTAAATTGGCCACCGTAAAGAGTTTCTAAAGCTGACGTTTCGAATGTTAGCTCCTCGTCAAAGCCTTATGGTTGTTAGACTGATTCTTATTACGATCAACCTCGCAATATTCAGCCAGAGTGTATCATCATCATGGATATCAAATTGAAATAATTTATCATTTTTGGTGAAGTCTGTTAATCCCTCTTAATCCTTCCCTTAAAAAAATAGCCACATTTTCGTCGAGTTGAACCGTTTCACTTTGAGTTCTCATTGAATAATGTTCCCTAGATATCAAAGCTTAACTCAAAACTTTTATATAATAGTGCTAATGGATGTTGAAAGAACGGTTCATGCTAAAATATTGGGCGGTGTTTTAACGACCAGCCTGCTGCTCTTATTTTTCCTCTCAGAATTTGTTTCTTCAGTTTTCCCTTTATTAAATGATCAGATATTTCCAAAATGTGTAAGCCAGAGTGAGGTTTCACATGAAAAATTAGACAACGATGTTTCCAACGGTCACTGAAGAGCAGTTTATATTTTAATGATGCAGCTGTGTTGTACTTGGTTTTTATTGTAAAATAGAAGGATGCAATTTCACGAAACTGTCATTGAGGCACTCACATACAGCTATAAATTATTTTTAATTGTATATCATATCAACGTCGTGTTAAGTCTGTCTCCTTGTGTTTATTATATATCTAATATTGTTAATGATCTCTTTTCATTGCGTTCTTTTTCTTAAGTTTGTCATTAAATGTGCATCTTTAATACTTTCGTAAAAAAAACAACATTTGGATCAATCACTGTGAACATAAGTAACCGAGTTATAAGTCGCAATGAGACGCAACCCCTTAGACAGCTTTTTCTTTTGGTATTTTGTGAACACTCCATTAAGAACAACGCGCGCGAAATACGCGAAGTATCATTAAAAGATAAATGAAATTTTCCTATTTCCTTTGCGTGTCCAAAGTCTTATTATACAAAGCCGGAGACGTCTAGCTTCGAGACTGAAGAAGGGAAATAGACTCTTTAGTTCTCAAGCCCTCTCGTTTATATCCGGTGAGGCCTTTTTCAACAAAACAACAACTCAGTTTTCTTTTTTTTTCCGGTTTAAAGCGAGTTGAACCTCGGTATTGTTTCGGGTAATCAGGTATAGAGACCGACAGTGTCGTACGCTGATCAGTGATCACTTGCAAAGCACGTGGCGGTTTCAGCGATCTCGCCTCCACCGGCAGATTAAAACTTTGTTCTGTTCTATATTTAACTGCGTCCTATGGCTAAGCAGTAAATAGCTCCTTACTTGTAAAGTCTTCTAAAAGGCACTCACTCTCTGAATATCTGAATAAAAGGTCTAATTGCTTTCCAAAGCATCTTAAAATGGGTTTTGTTGATTGTGAGATGGTAGGAAACTTTATTGTTATATTTAGATATGCCTCTTACTCTTCACGGGTAGTACCTGCATGTGTATATTGTGACTGAGTGTTAGGTCTTTCTTCACTGATACTTGTCATGTAGTGCCGGATGTTATACTAGTGAGCATAGAAACATGGCTATTTGATGACGTAAATACGACGTCACTGTTCAAGGGCCCACAAATAGAGAAGCGGAGTGCGTTGACCAGCGAAAACAATTCAACATCACTTGTTTTTTGCGCGGTCATCAAATGAAAAATGAAATTGTTGTCAGTGAAACCTTTATTTTATGTTGTGGCCACTAAACCGCTAGTTTCCATCATGGAGCGGATGTTTCGACCATTTTATCGGCAAGGCTTTTATACGGATTAAGTGCCGTATTTGTAATTTGTATTGACCTGCCATGATTGAAAGAACAATATAGCGGAAAACAAAACATATATGGATCACTAAGCATGAAGTAAACATGTAAAGTGTTACCATCATTTGCATAAGGATGTTTGAAGATGAAGTGACAACTGAAGGCGTTTGACGCTTAGTCTGTTGGTGTGAGGAGCAAATACTCTTCGCGGAAACATGGCGAAAGGGTTGTTCGCGCTTGTTCGCAAGGGTTCGAAGTTGAATTACTTAGATGAAGCTGGCAGGGATTCGTCCCAAAGCAAGCAAAGTGAAGTCCATTACCAAAATGCACCTCTTAGAGAGAAAAGTATGGCGAGATCAAAAGACGATAATTCAAGTAAAGAAAATGATACTCTGGAAAGCACCACTTCGAAGGAAGGAATATCTACTAAAAAAATACTTTTGAATTTGACTTTCCAAAAGTTATCTATAGGACGCAAGATTGCACGGAATTCGCCTGCTACTTCAAAGGACAATTCATCAGCGGAAATTACTGCGACAACGAAGGAAGAGAGTTTGGATTTTCCTGGTAAACCCAAGTTAGTTCTTAGTGTAGCTAGTGGTTATTTTGTTGGCAAATGTAACAGTTTAAGTATGGAGACCACTTCAAAGAAGGGCGAAAGTGTCGGGAAAATAGTGCCTTGTATTATTTTACCCGATCATGACTCAGTTAATATTCGTTCGACGGCTTGTAACAGGTTAGAAAATCATCCTTGCGTACAGTACTCCAGGAAGTTTGGTTCGCTACCGCATTTACGCGTCGATGCCGAGAAAAAAAAGCGTCCATCTAGTTGGAATAGCGAGTCTAGTCCAAGAGGGAATGATCTCGTTTCAGTATCAAATCAGAATCTGGGACTAAGAGGAGAAGCAGTGCCACTTTCATCGTCGCCTTCGCAGCGGAGAAATCGAAAAGAGGGTTCTTTAAGTCCAAAAAACCAGCATCTGGGTAGACCTGCATCTAGTTTAGATCGAAGCGGGAGAGTTGTGGATCGTTTTGTGATAAGGGCTAAATCATGGGGTAAGGGAGATGAAATTACAGACTGTGTTGTGCAACAAAATAGAAAGATTGACATTTTTCTACCATCAGTGTAAGAAATATTCGGCACTAAAGGTAGACAACGCGCAACGACTATGGTACTTTATCGATGTTATTGTTGATGTAAATGTTTGTGAAAACTTTTTATTTTCTGACCGGCAAATAGTCAGCAATATTATGTGTTGAAAACGTTTACCTCTTTCCGTAAATGATTAACAAGAAAGACAAACAATATCAATAAAGGTAGAAAATTTGTAACCTTACAAAACGATCGCATTTTTGTTCAAAAAGAGAAGAGACTGTCAAGTGAAAAAAAAAAAACAATTACCGGTAGACAGCGTTAGGATTCTCCTTAACAACCTGAATACATATTCCCATATAAGCATCTGCGAGCATTTGTAAAAATCTTAATCTTGGCTGACCAGTTTTTTCCTTCTCATGACTTTTACTTGTGAAATTCATCCAGTATTTTGAGGGGAAATTTGATGCTGATCAGTCATGGGGTTGGAGAGGTTAGTCATTGCTTCTCTTGTTTCCTCTTTTGTTTCTCATTTCGTAGTCACAACACTTTGTGCGGCGTCCGGTTGTTTCTGTAATCGTAATCGTAATCACATACGTGATCAACACATCCGACATCCGCTTCGGGGTCGTCTGAGTTTTGACGTTCATTTTAGGATGCTTACTTGTTTGTTTGTTTATTTGTTTTTACTACCGCCGGGGCAAGTCAAATTAGCAACGAGCTAACAGGAACTTAAAGGGGATTTTTTTGTGATTAACTGACCTTTTAAACAATTAAAGATGAAACTCGATTTATAAAAATTGTTTATTTATTCTTTACATGCTCACTTTGGAGGCTGGTTGGCTGCATGTGATGCTTTAATGTGACAGCGTGATGCTGTTAGTGAGCTTCGATGCGCTAGCTGATGTTTGGCTGAGTAGCCGCGTGATGCGGTTCCAGTCAATACCCACTAATTGACCCTTGCTCACCATAGAGTCTCCTGTAGCTCAGTAGTTAGAGCATCCGACTAGATCACGGAGGGTCGTAGGTTCAAATCCCATCTGGAAACTCGATTTTAAACAATTGCCATAATTCTGGACACAGCTTAAAAGTGTAACCTGCAACAGTACTTCTTTTCAATTCTTTTTCGCAAACTCAGGACTCCAAGCCCATTTTTTTCAAAGAGTCACCTTTTGGTGACCTTCAATTGTAAAATGGTCGCCATTAAGAAATTTTTGGTCGCCCTCTTTATCCCTCCCCTTCCCCCCCTTTTTTTTTTTTTTCATCTGTTGGTCACTAATGGGCGACTTTTGTTGAAATTTTATAGTTGCCAGATTTATTTTTAATCGCCATGACGACCAAAACGGTCGCAATGGATAACTTTTTCCGTGTTTACAAATTTCATCTAAACATGAGGGGAATTGGGAGATATCGAGAAAGTTGTGCGAGCCCGAGATGAAGTCGTGGGTTTGCATAACTTTCGAGAATTATTCCAACCTCCTGAGTGTGCTTTTGAAACTGAAAAGAACTTGCCTGATTTGTCAGCCCGAGAACATGGTTGAGAAACTGAATTGCTCATCGTGCTTTGTAGAGTGGATAAAAATAAGAAACGTCTCAAAGAAAAATTGCATTTTATGGAATATTATAAAGCCTAAAAGCTAGGCAACCGATCGGGTGTGCGATGTTTGCTTTTAGACAAATGCAGGGTTCTAGGGGAAAAGATAGCTAGACCCCGACAAAAATTTAGCAATTTTTTTTTCTCTATTTCAGATATTTGTTACATTTGAACGTGAAATTACTTTGCTAGTTTTTGCAAAAGCTTTGAGTTTAAAATGTTTTCAAATTGTGCTGGCAAACACAAACAGCGTGACGTCTCAACTGTGTTTACCTACTCTCAACTAAACTAGTCAGTTGACCAATGAGAACGCGTATACTACCTCAATTATTTTACAAATGTTATGTACTTGCAGACGCTGCATTCGCGCTCTGCGCCATTGGGTAAGCCGGTGCAATGAGAATCAGATAATTGAGAATGCTAGAGTTCAAACTATGTTTATCTTAAGTAATATTTGG